GCTTTCAACTCGGATTTCGTGTGTGTTAGCGCACACAGTGACGTTTAGAGCCTCTTGCACGAACTGGAGTTGCATTTCCATTACCGACAGTGCTGTGGAATGCCATATGTTGCCATTGAAGTCAAAAGTGAGCCAACTTGCCCTCTACTCATTGGAGAAAGGGAAGCAGATTAGTCATATTAGGAGTGTTTTGGGCGAACCACTGTTGAAACGAAGTGCAATATCCGCGGATGGAACTGAATGCTCGTATTTGTGATGAATGGCAATCAGGCACTTAGTTTTGTTTGATTTACTTGGAACACTTTAGGCATGGTCTTTGATGAGGAGGCCTCTCGCGGTCTTGTGCGGTGGGCGGAGGAGCGGGAATTTTATACGGGTAAGAGGGCTGTGATACCGCCACCTCGTAATCCGTCTCTACTGCAGAGCGGTATCTGCGCGCACTACGGTGCTCAGTTGTCCACCATACCCACTGCTCAGTGGCCAGGTCTTCTCGTGCGTCCTATTGATCTGCCGCCCGAGGATCCGGGCAGCTACGCAGTCCTGGGGGCCAATGTCAGCGGCCTTTGCGCCTCCAGTCCTGTTCCAGATCACATGGCCGAACAGCTGCCAGCGGAGTTGCATCAGCGTGGTGTGGCATCCTACCTCGATTACGCCAGATTCAAGTACGGTACGCGCCTCCGCTTGGTTGAGGAGACCCGTGGTCTGGATTCCTCCACTCCCCTTGTCACTGCCACGCGCATCTCACGACATCGGAATGCAGCCAATGTGAGTTTGGGTTTTCTATCCGCTAATGTCATACTGACACTGTTATGTAAAGTTGAAGGATGTTTGATTTCATTCTGCGGTCAATGAGCTGTGAATTGTCTGTGTGAAGGCATGCAGATGGTGTGTGGATTGTGCGTAGGTCCACCGCTGAAGGTTATCGGTACTTGAGCGCTTCGCATATGGGTGACTTTCCTCGTCGGCTATTGCTAGAATATACGAGCGTTCGTTCGAATTGATTGGAGAGCGTAGCTGGTGGTGACTTTGAGCTTGGGTTTGTTATTATGTCTGTCAGAGACTTACGCTGGTGATGGTGTTAGTGTTTCTGTTTCTCGTTTAGCGCTGTGCGAACACCCGCCTTGTCTGCTTTGCAATGTGGGTAGATGTTGGCTTAAGTTTTTGATGAGACTGTTGTAAGGTGAGATGTCCGTGCTGTTTGATCTTGAACTTAGCCTTTTGGCTTCCTGGCTGCTTGGGCGGGGTAGAGTGATTTCCGGGTGATGGTCGCATTATAGACAGGAGAACGCGTCTGTAAGGTGACGTTCGCATTGACAAAGATCACCTCATCACTACCATATTGTCAATTAGGTGACGTCGGGAGTCGGTGTCATTGGGAAGGAGGTAATTAAGGAGGACAGGATACCCCAACTCTGCATTGTCCACCCACTGAACACATG